TTCCTGCTAATGAAGATCAGGGCTCAAGAGGTTGGCTTCTGCCACCCCTGTGAAAGATCTGGATTGACTGAGTTCCCAATTTTGGCCTTGGTCTAATGCTGGGAATTGTGGGTATCTGAGGAATGAAACAGCAGTTTGGAGCGCACTTTCTCTCTACCCCTCAATTTTTTCTATTTTTTCTTTTTTTATTAGTAGGGCCAGAGGCCAGTACTGTGGCCTACATAGCATTTAAAGCTGCTGCTTGCGGCATCGTGCCAACATCCCATTTGGGTGCCAATTGGAGTCCCAGCTGCTATACACCCAAACCAGCTCCCTGCTAATGCTCCGGGGAAAGCAGCAGAAGATGGCCCAAGTACTTGGGTTCCTGCACCCACGTAGAAGAACAGGATGAAGCTCCTGGCTCCTGGCTTCAGCTTGGCTCAGCCCTGGCCATTGCGGCCACTTGGGGAGTGAACCAACAGATGGAAGATTCCCCTCCCCCAACTTTTCCTTTCAAATCAGTCGATCTTTATACTATAGAATTATCAGTAAACTTCAGTTGAGAAATAGTATAGCAATAGAGAATATCTGCAGTGGTCTGATGGATACTATATAATGGTTGAAGAAATTAATCTTTAAAAAGCAAGTGTTTTTGGTAATTTCTCAAATTTTAAAAAACCACTGAACAAACAAAACCTAGAAGCTCACAGACCACATGTAGGAAATCAGGAAGGATACAGCTGGAGAGCTGGCTGAGCCAGACCTCAATGAGGGCTGTGCTGAGGGCCACAGGGAAAGAGGTGGTGTGGGTGACTGGGCCACAAGGCAATGAGCCACAGGGGACAAGCCCAGAAGAGGAAGAAGAAGAACTCAACCTGTGGCCTTGGGACAGGACGTGACAGGCAGCCAGAGCCACTTTGCAATCACCCAGGTCACAAGGTCCCTGGGAGGAAGCCCAGGAACCTATAGGTTGGCAGGTGTTGCTACAGGCGATTTTAGCACCAGGAAAACCTAGACTCAGGTTTAGATGTGTAGGCAATATGCTGCTTGCCCTCAAAAAGTGTGGTGGTAGGAAAAAAAGACATCTGAAAAAAGACGCGTCAAGGAAACACCAGTGGTCACTGGAAGTGGGTAAAGGAGCAGGGAAGGAAGTGGACAGAAGGCCTGGCCAGTCACCAGTCTCAGGACTTCAGTGACACGACCCCTGGAGCGGCGAGCAGGCAGGTGGGTAGGTGGAGACAATGAGGGCCGAGTGGCAGACAGTTTAGTTACACACAGGTGTACACCTGCTTTGCATAAAGGCGAAGTTTGAACATCCAGATCTACAGAACGACTCTCCAGAGCATGCCCTTAGAGGCAGTGGTTCTCTCCCCAGGTTGGCACCACCAGGTAGCTCTTAGATATTCCAGCATCTGGGAGCAGGATAGTGATGTGTCACTAGTGTGTGATTCGCTGATAAGGACAAGAACAATGACAGAACCTGTTACGCAAAGTTGTTAGGAAGATTAAATGAATGACACGAAGCAACTGCCCATGGCAGTGCCAGGCAAGTACAATTAGCATCACTGTAAGGGGCACATGCTGTATTACTGTGAGCCATCCGAAGCTCACCAGAAATGGCCTGTGTTGCTGGGTTGGCGGGGAGGGAGAGATGCCATCCTTCTCTCCATCCTCTCACCATTGCTGAAACCTCTTCCTAGCCACATGCCCACCAACAGGGGCATTGCTTAACCTCTCCAGGTGCATCCGCATCTCTGTCTAACTAGGGCTTCCCCTCCCCACCTTCAAGAGAAAAAAGGAAATAAAGCTACATTTCGAGGACTGAGCACTTTCCTTGAGAGATCTAGTGTGCATGTGAGAGCACTGGATCAGGTATCATTTCTTTTTTCATTTGCTTATAAAAATGATCAGCTCAATTACTATAATTTTAAAAATCCCAAATAAGTCAAATCCAATCCGATAAAAAGCTGGGACCAATCCCAGAGCCCCCTTTGTCCTCAGCCCATACTCGGCAAAGAAACCCTGATGGAGCTCGTCTAGAGCCTCTGCAGACAGGGAGAGAACCACGTGTGCATTCCACTGCACCTGGAGGTACACTACCCACTGCCCACTGCCCACTAACAGGAACCGGCATCTCAGGACACTGCTGTGGTCAAGCCTGGGCCCCCGATCCTACCCTCTCCTCTTCCTCCTCACCTGCCCCTCCTTACCCTCTCACCCTGCCTCTGCACAGCTCTAATGAGAATGGGTCTCCCTATTCCCTCTCCTCCTAGAATACCTATGCACACATCTTACGGCACGCGGAGCCCTAGCCCTGCCCAGTAACCACGCTACAACACAGACTGGTCCTTGTGGCCAGCTCACCTCTCCTTGAAATTCCTCTTCCCTCTTCTCTGTCCCACAGGTCCCCCCAGTCCCCAGTGTAACATCAGCCACACTTCTGGCCACTGTGCCCACTGCTTCGGGGGGGTCAGGGGGGTTGGGGGGCTGGCACGGAGCTAACCCCTCCCCGTGTGTTCAATTTCATCACCTCAGCCCCTGGCTCATGGCAGATGTCCCACAGGATCTGTCATTTACACCAAAGGAACGTTTGTTCCCTCCACCCTCCAAGACCTGACATCACAAACTCAGGAAGCTGAGCGTTTGCTCTGGCAGAACCAGAGAGGAAGTCAGACAGTTGGCCTGCCTCACGCTCTTTGACTTCCTATGTCCTGTCCTCCTGACATGCTGGGCATCATGGTCAGGCCTGAGATACCCTCACCATGTAGCTAGGATGGACTTCAAGACCCAGGTAGGACAAGGCTGCCAGCCCTGTGTGTCCCTCAACTTCCTGGAAATGACCCTGAAGAAGGAAACCAACAATGACCTCATCATAAACAATGCTAAATAGATGGTCATTTTAAATAGCCTTTTTCATCTGGCACATGTGCGGTTCATCACACTGAGATTTATTCTGGAAGAATTTGTGTAAAACTGGAATGAATGGGGCCAGTGCAATGGCTCAATTATTAATCTCCACCTGCAAGCACTGGCATTCCATAATGCATACCAGTTCAAGTCCCAGCTGCTCAACTTCCCATCCAGTTTCCTGATAATGACCTAGGAAAGCAGTAAAGGAGCAGTCAAAGATGGCCCAAAGCCTTGGGACCCAAATGGCAGACCCGGAAGAAGCTCCTAGGAGGCTTCAGATCAGATTAGTCCAGCTGTTGTGGCCAGTAGGGGAGTGAAACAGCAGATGAAAAAACTTTCCCCAAGGGCCTGGCATGACAGTCTAGCAGCTAAAGTTCTCGCCTTGCATGTCCTGGAATCCCTTATGGGCACTGGTTCTAATCCCGATAGCCCTACTTTCTATCGAGCTCTCTTGTTTGTGGCCTGGGAAAGCAGTTAAGGACGGCCCAAGGCCTTGGCACCCCACACCCACATGGGAGACCCAGAAGAAGCTCTGGGTCCCCTGGTTTGGATTGGCCTAGCTCTGGTCATTGCAGTCTCTTTGGGGAGTGAATCAACAAATGGGAGATCTTCCTCTCTGTCTCTCTTCTCTGTATATCTGACTTTACAATAAAAATAAATAAATCTTAAAAAAAAAAAAAACTTTCCCTTTGTCTCTCCTTCTCTCTGTAAAATCTGCCTCGCCAATAAAAATAAATCTTTAAAAAACAAACAAAAAACTGGAATGACTCAGTGATTGGGTAAAACTCACCAGTAAGCCAGTCAGACCCAGAGCCTTCTCAGAGGGAAAAAAAAATGACACCTAATTTAAGGTCTTTAATGATATGGACTATTTTGACTTTCTGTGTTTTAATAAATTTTGGTAAGTTACATTTTCTAGTTAATCCCAACAGTTCAGATGACAAAGTTTCTGGGGACTGGTGTCATGGCATTGTGACACAGTGGGTAAAAGTCATTGCCCCCAGCTTTGGCATCCCATATGGGCACCAGTTTGTGTCCCAGGCTGCTCCACTTTTGATCCAGCTCCCTGTTTATGGGCTGGGAAAAGCAGCAGAAGATGGTCGCCAAGTCCTTGGGGCCCTACATTCACGTAAGAGACCCAAAAGAAGCTCTGACTCCTGGCTTCAACCTGGCAGCCCCAGCTGTTACACCTACTTGGGGAGTGAAACAGCAGTTGGAAGACCTTTCTCTCTGTCTCCTTTCCCTCTCTGTAACTCTAGCTTTCAAAACAAAAATACACATAGTGGCCTGGCGCAGCAGCCTAGTGGCTAAAAGTCCTCGCCTTGCACATGTTGGGATCCTGTAATGGTGTTGGTTCGTGTCCCAGTGGCCCCACTTCCCTTCCAGTTCCCTGCTTGTGGCCTGGGAAAGTAGTCGAGGACAGCCCAAGGCCTTGGGACCCTGCACCCATGTGGGAGACCTGGAAGAAGCTCCTGGCTCCTGGCTTCAGATTGGCTCATCTCCAGCCACTGCAGTCACTTGGGGAGAGAATCAGCAGACAGAAGATCTTTCTGTCTTTCCTCCTCTCTGTTTTCTCCTCTCTGACTTTCCAATTTTTAAAAAAAATCTTTAAAATATATATACACATAGAACTAATCCTTAAAAAGACAAAAATAACTCACTTCTGGAGCCCTTAAAAAAAAAAAAAACTTGTCTCAGGACAATTGCAAAAAATTAAGTGCCTGCGAGGCCTCAGAAAAGCTTGTTCACATATGTATTATCACATTGTATCTAGAAATCAAGGCAGTTTGGAGAACTTCTGCTGTCCAACTATTTGCAAGGGATAGGTCACTTCCTAGTTACAAGGAATTGAACCGGATTCAAATCAACACCATCTGGCTGGCCCTGCTAGAAAGTTCTGCAGACACCTCACTCCTGGAGGTCTCTTATCTTTGACACCAGGTTCTCTAGAATGTTCCCAGTTCACAGAAACCTCCCCCAAAGCCAGGGGCGGGAAGGGGAAGTGCTGAGTGGAAAGGGCTGGCGTGTTCATGGACATGGGGTGCAGCTGTGTGCGCACAGGCCACTTGGCCCAGGACGCAGTGGGCAGCGCTGGGGCAAAGGACACTCACCAGGGCCTCAAAGTCCTTAGAGTCATGGCGGGCGTAGGATGCGGGGAAGGGCCGCAGCACCGAGTCGCGCTTGTAGCTCTGCAGGGCCGAGGCGAACAGGCTGCACCGGAGGTCGGCGGCCAGCACGTCGCGGCCCGCAGCCTCCCTGGCGGCCGCCTCGCCCGAGGGCTGCATCCCGCTCAGGGGGGCGAAGGCCGCGGGCCTCGGGGACAATGGGCCGTCTCGGGGCCGGGCGGGGACCTCCCGAGCCTGCGGAGGAGCCTGGGCACGGGGACGCGGGGACAGCGGTGAGAACGCGCTGACTAGCGTCCCCGCCCTGTGAGGACGGCGGCCCGCGCGCGCGCGGCCGGAGGACCGCAGGTCAGCCCGATGGTTGGGTGGGGGGGACAGGGGGAGAATAATAAGGGGGCCCCCAGGTCCCAGCCAGGGGAGGGGCTATGACACGGGCTGAGGTGACCAAGGCCACAACGTGCTGGTTGCGCGCGTCTCCTGCAGGCTGCCTTGCGGGCACCGCGCTCCGCAGCTCCCCGCGCCGGCCGGGCGGACAGGCGGGCGAGGCTGCGGCGCCGCGCGGCCCTTCCTGCCCCGCCTCCCGCCGCGCGGCCGCCGCCGAAGCCCCGGCGCTGTCCCGGCTGCCCGCGGCGCCGCCTGCGCTCACCTCCGGTCACGGCCCGCTTGGGCTTCCCCGGCCTACCTGCCGCCCCGGCTCCTCCCAGCCCGGCCCCCTCTGCTGTTACAGGTTGTAGGTGCGCACCCACCCGAGCCCCTCATTGCCCACCTGCGAGGTATGCACAGCAGTCTGCACAGCAACAGTCCAGCATAGAAACTGACCCGGACGCCCCCCACTTGACCCATCCGTGGACTTGCCCTCTTTGTGCCAGCTGTTTCCTTCAGGGACTGAAGGTGCAGAAGGACCCAGTTAGCTGCCAGGGAAACTGAGGCCCAGGGTGTGGCACAGTGCTTGCAGACCAAGAGGCCTTGGGTCATAGAATCTCTGAATCGCTTCTTAAATCTCTGGACCATGCTTCCTGCAGAAAACCTCATGTGCAAACCTCGCATGGAAATACATGGAAATACACGCCACAGGCCATTGCTGGATTCCTAGAAAGAGAAGCACCTCCTATGTGATTGCATATGCACAATTTTATGCGTGTTTTTTTTTTCAGATGTCTTCCTTAAAGGCTTCTGTTTTCCTGTCACTCTAATCAGCATGCTTTGAATTACTTGTATCCTTTCCAATTGGTTGAGCTTTGTTTTATGGCCTAGCCTAGACTTAGGGAAGACATGTATGTTGAGCAGTTAGTTTTGGTAGCCAGTGAATGTCCACAAAGTCTTGTTGCTTTATATGTTCTCAATTCTATTTCCTTGTGGATTTTGTGTCCAGTGGTAGAAATTGTTCAAAATGGGTTATCGGGGTCTTGGTGGCGGTTGATTTTGGGTGTAAACCTGACTGGACTAAGGCACGTCCGAGAGCCAGGTAGATATACTCTCTGGGTTGCTATGAGGGTGTTTCTGGAAGCAACAGCCTTGGATTACTAGCCTGGATACCTAGGCTTGCTCTGGCCTGTCTGTGGAGGGACTGAACACAACAAAAAGGTGGTTGAAGGGCGAATCCATTCTCACATCAGGGTCTCTAAGGTATCATCAAATGACCGCCCCCCATCCGCAGGTGCTGGTATAGTTTGACAGCAAGGAATGGCCCCCTCCCCTTCCCTCTCTGTGGACACGAGAAAAAAATTGAAATATTTGTCCCATCTTCCTTCATACCTGCACCCATAAATCTGCCTTTTCAGTAAAAATAAATAGATCTAAAAGGCAGATTTAGAGAGAGAAGGAGAGATAGAAAGATCTTCCATCCAATGGTTCACTCCCTAAGTGGCTGCCATGGCCGAAGCTGAGATGATCCGAAGCCAAGAGCCAGGAGCATCTTCCAGGTCTCCTACACGGTCCCAAGGTGTTGGGCCATCCTCTACTGCTGTCCCAGGCCTTGAGCAGAAAGTTGGGTGGGAAATGGAGCAACTGAGACACAAACCAGTGCCCATACAGGATGCCAGCACTTAAAGGTGGAGAATTAGCCTGTTGAGCCACAGCATCAGCCCCAAACTCAGATTTTTGATGGACTTACCTGATGCTTTTATAGTCAATGTTACTCATTTTTATACATCATCTTACTTTCTGTTTCTGTATGCCTCATATCTTCTGTACTTCTGTTTTCCCTTACTGTTTTATTTTGCATTAAATTAGTATTCTTTATTTGCTTTTAATATTTATTTATTATTTGGTGGGGAGGGGGAAGAGAAACAGAGATTTTCTACATGTTGGTTCACTCCTCAGAAGGTCTCAGAAGGTCACAATGGCTAGAGTGAGGCCAGCCAGGTCAAAAGCAAAAGCCAGGAATTCCATCCAGGTCTCCCCTGTGGGTGGCAGGGGCTCAAGCACTTCTTTTTTCAGACTCATTCAGTTTTATTGGAAAGACAGATCTACAGAGGGAAGGAGAGACAGAGATAAAGATCTTCCACCCACTGGTTTGCTCCCTGAAGGCCACAATGGCCAGAGCTCAGCTGATCCAAAGCCAAGAGCTTCTTCTGGAGCTCCCATATGGGTGCAGGGTCCCAAGGATTTGGGCCAATCTCTATGCTTTCCCAAGCCACCAGCAGTTAGCCAGATGGGAAATGGAGCAGCTAGACCGTGACTGGCAACCATATGGGATCCCAGTGTTTGCAAGGTAAGGATTTAGCCATTGAGCCGTTGCACTGGGTCCTTTGTTGCTCTTTCAGATAAATGAAAAGAAATAGAGTCTGGTGCTTTGATAGATCAGGCTAATCCTCCATCTGCAGCACCACCAGCAGCATTCCAGGTGAGCAGCAGTTCAAGTCCCAGCTGTTCTACTTATAATCCAAGTTCTGCTTGTTGCCTTGCAAAGCAGCAGAGGATAATCCAGGTGCTTGGACCCCCACACTTACATGGGAGACCCAGAAGCTTCTGACTCCCAGCTTTGGATGTACCCATTTCTGGCCATTGCAGGGGAGTGAATCAGAAGATGGAAGATCTCTCTCTGTATCTCCTTCTCTCTGTAAAAATCTACCTTTTTTGGGCCCAGCACAGTGGCGCAAGTGGTTAAAGTCCTCGCCTTGCACACCCTGGATCCCATATGGGCTCCAGTTCTATCCTGCCTCCCCACTTCCCTTCCAGCTCCCTGCCTGTGGCCCGGGAGAGCAGTCGAGGACGGCCCAAAGCCTTGGAATCCTGCACCCACATGGAAGCCCCAGGGAAGGCTCCTGGCTTTTATCTTTGGATCATCTCAGCTCCAGCCATTGTGGCCATTTGAGGAGTGAATCAGTGGATGCAAGATCTTTCTCTCTCTGTCTCTCTTTCTTTCTATAGACCTGCATTTCCTACAAAAATAAATGAATATTTAAAAGAAAGAAAAATAAATGCTACTCCTGTAGCACTCTATTCCCTTGGCCCTTTTGTGATACTCGTATGTAAGTGACAGTTGTGAATGTGAGCTGTGAGAGGTGACATCCGGTACAGCAGTTGCGATGCCTCCTGGGACACCTGCTCCCAGGTTGGCTTCTGAGTCCAGCTTCCTGCCAATGTGCACCCTGGGAGTCCTCAGGTGATGTTTCACACCCTGGGTCCCTGCCACCTGCTTGATAATCCTGGACTAATTCCTGGCTTCAGCCTGGTCCAGGCCTGGCCACTGCAAGCATTTGGGGGAATAAACCAGCAGATGGAAGATCTTCCTCAGTTTCTCTAGCTTTCAAATAAACACATACTTTTTTTAATGGAGATTGAAATGACTTAAATATTTGAATGAAGCATGTCTTTTTCATAAAAAGGCTGAGAGAAGAAGGGAGAACTTTTATATCAAGTGATGTTATTTACCATTTCTAGTTGGATTTATTCTTGTGGATGTGAGTTGCTACTTGGAAACATTTTGTTAGTGTTCTGTAGCTTTTCTCCCCCATAAATTCCTTTATGTTATTATTGATTAATATATTACATTTCCATGTATTTTGCACCAACACCACATTGATATTTTATGCAACTGCTTTTTAAATCAGTTTTAAAAAAAAAAGAATTATACATTTGTCATGTCTTGCGATGATATAGTTTATTTTACTGGTATACTTTGCTTTTTCTAGTGGATTCAAGCTGCCATCTGAGGTCACTTTTTGTCAGCTGATGAACTTCCTTTAACATTTCTTGAGGTGCGTCTATGTTATGCTTATCTGATAATTGAATTTACTTGTGAGGAACTTTGCTGGGTACACAAGCCCAATGAGCAGTTTTGTCTTTGAGTACCTGAAGTGCTCATCTCATCACTTCTGCTGGGTTTAAATTTTGCTTATCTTGGGCCCGGCACGGTGGCGCAAGTGGTTAAAGGTCCTCACCTTGCACGCCCGGGATCCCATATGGGCGCCGGTTCTAATCCCGGCAGCCCCGCTTCCCTTCCAGCTCCTTGCCTGTGGCCTGGGAAAGCCTTTGGGACCCTGCACCCGCGTGGGAGACCTGGAAGAGGCTCCTGGCTTCGGATCGGCATAGTATCGGCCCGTTGCGCTCACTTGGGGAGTGAATCATCGGATGGAAGATCTTCCTCTCTGTCTCTCCTCTCTGTATATCTGCCTTTCCTTATAAATAAATTTTGCTTATCGTCCTTTTTAGTTGTTTTTTTCTCTTTTCTGCTCTCAAGATTTCCTCTGCATCTCTGGCTTCCAGTATTTTTACCATGTGTTTCTTTCAAATACAGTTCACTGGGCTTCCTGAAAGTATAGATGATTACTTTTCGGTAAACTTGGACATTTTTTAGCTATTATTTTTCTCATTTTCTTTCCTGCTCCTTTTTCTCCTTTCTCTCTGGTTTTCCCATTATACATCTGCTGCTATACTTACAAAGTTCCACATTTCTTTGAGGCTCGGTTAGTTTTTCCTTGAATTATTTCCTCTCTGTTCATTGGATTATATCATCTCTTTCACTCTGTCTTCAGGTTTTCTAATTATTTTTTTCTGCCAGTTTGTACCTACTTTTCAACTCCTCCAGTCAGCTCTTCATTTCAATTACTATACTTTTCAACTCCAGCATTTCCATTTGATCTATTTTTCTTTATATAATTTCTACCTCTTTATTTGATGTGACATGATCCTCATACCATTCTTTGTTCATCATGATTTTCTGCAGTTTATTTGAGTATGATTACTTTGAAGGCTTTGTCTGTGGAATCT